TTTTTTAGATAATACATTTTGTTCATCAGAATCTAACCCAAAGTTTACAATTTCTTTAATATTTGATAGTTGTATTAATTTGGACGATACAATATCGTAACAAATATGTAGTAATTGATATGATCTTAATTTATTTGTTTTTAAAATCTTCGCACTAAGAGATAATATTTTGACAACTTCTTGTTGCCATTTGCCCAATTGAATTGCGTTGTCTTTTCTTAAAATTTTATCTAGCATCATTTCTATAACTTTATCAACAAGAAATATCTCAAATGTAACTCCTGGCATTTTCTGCAGAAATTCATTTATAACTGATGGACACAGTTGTGTTAATTGTACAGCTGCTAGTAAGACATTAGAATATTTCCACCAATAGATGTGAAGAACAACTGGATCAAATACTTTATCCTTTCCAGTATATAGCTGCAATATTTGGCCAGTAACTCAGAGTTTTCTCATCAGCATCGTTTGCAGCTATAACTGTTACAAAGTCTTCAAAAAATAGCTCAGAGAAATCTTTAAAAAATTGGATCATTGATAGCTGGAAGTGATGCTACAACTTTTTTTTTAAATCCTCGAATGGTATTTTCAAAAGCATCATGCGAAAGCTCTTGATTATCATCAAAACTTTCTGGATATTCCCTAAGTATTGCAAGTTCATTTTCCCATATGGTCCTGAATTCATTAATTTTTTTCATAAAATAATATGAAAATGGGAATTTTAAATCATAAAAGTTTTCTGACATCACATAATGATTAGGTCTTGGTTCAGACAAATCATTGATATTCAAGACTTTTGGGTCAAAGAAAATGGTTTCCAAAAATGAAATTAAATCCTGATTTCTTTCCTTTTGATTAATTGATATAAAAGTTTTGGTGACTGACAATTTCTCAAGAACAAACAATATTTGGGCGATTGGACGCCTGACAAATGCTCGGATATAAGCCAATAATGCAGCGGTAAAAGATGGATAAGGAAATAATAATTTTTTGTCAGATGCAACCTGATATTTCCAATCATCATCGGAGTTTTCCTTTATCCATTTTAATGCACATGTTTTTAGGCATCCAATAAGAAGAGGACTCTTCATTATATCTGTTTTCAATATTCTATATAATAATAATATATTATTATAATTAAATTTATGGATGCTGTTAGTTGTAACAAGTTGTTGTACCCTTATTTTAACAATTTATCAGTGCAGACAATATTGACTTGCTTAGAGATGTGCCATTTATATGACACCCGATTTTTTTTTTCACGTACAGTACGTAATGTACGCAAAGTGTGTGTCTAGCGATCTGATTGCTGATAGAAAGGATCTGCAAACATTTTCGCGTACAATATGTACAGTACTGTGCAAGCATTATTGCAAGATCACGTTATAACACATGACCAAGTGCATTTTGGGCTCTCTCGTCCCACCCTACCTATAATGAAACTATGTTTATCGGACCATCTGTGGCTTGCAGACTGTAATAACAGTTCCGCGACCATTGTCTTTGTAACTAAGTTAAAGCATGGCTCAAGATTATAACAACAGCTTTGTGACTGTCTGCTTGAAAAAAATACATTCGGGCGAGTTTACTAATTTCCTCCACCACTTCACTATCGGAGTACTATAAAATTGATTAATAACATCGATACTCCAATATCTGAATAATTA